CTAATTTCAGGAAAATAAACAGCCTGAGGAAGAATTCAGAAGCAAAATCTGGCCTGGCCAGAACCTAGGGACCCCTTTCACTATTGGAAACAGGTCCTTTGGGCTCTGGCGTTAACCTCCGGGAGGGAGGAGCAGGGGAGGGCCGGGGCGGGAGGAGGGCCCAGGCCCTGCCTCCTCATTCCTCAGCAGCCAGTTGCCCTCCCAGAGCAACTAGCAGGAGACCCAAGTTGATTCCCGGGGAGCTGGCTGGTATCTGTGACAGGGCCGTGGCAGATGGCAAATCCTGTTTGTTGTGGAGGAGTGGAAAATAATTTGCGTCAGAAGGAGAAGCTGGAGCCTCTGTGATAAATGGAGCCCTGAGGAGGGCTTCTCAAGAGGCCTGGGAGCACAGCCTGTGGCTTCCGGCCTGGCTCTGCCACTTCCTAATTGACCTTGGGCAAGTTGCTTAACTTCTCTGGGCCTGAGCTCCCTCATCCTTAGAATGGGGTAAGACCAGCACTAGGTTTGTTAGGGTTGTTAAAAAGATTACATTAAAGGAGGCAGTATCTGTGAGCTCCTTGCTGAAGTGCCTGGCGTGTGCTAAGTGCCATCTAAGGTTTTTTAAAAAAATAAACAGGTGTTGGGGCGCCTGGGTGACTCAGTCAGTTAAGCGTCCGACTCTCATTTTCGGCTCAGGTCATGACCTGAGGCTCCTTGCTCAGCGGGGAGCCTGCTGCAGACTCTCTCTGCTCCCACCCCCGCCCGCACTGGCACACTCTCTCAAATAAATAAATAAATCTGTAAAAAAAACCCAAACAAACCAGGTGTTAAAGTAATTGTTGGGGCTACTTCTGGGCTAGCAGTCAAGGCCCCCAGCAGTTGGGGCTCCTTGTTTTCATTCTCTTCTCTGAACTCTGTGCCCGGCCCCCGATTGCTTCTCTGCGGGAAGGGCTCTGATCAGCAAGCAGGTAGACGTGGCCCCTCACTCATTAGATTATTTAACCTCCTGAGCCTCAGTTTCCCCTCAGGTGACGAAAGAACAGCCATACCACCCCCCAGGGCTGCAGTGAGGAGCAGAGAAGGCGTCTCCCCGTCAAGGCTGGCCTGGTCCGGAGGGAAGGGAAGGTGCTCTGGGGACAGAGGGGACAGAGGCAGTGGCGTGCCCCTCCTGCTCCCCGCTGCACCAGGCACGCTGTGTTAGTCCCAGGACCCATCTCGTGCTGAAACCCAGCCCCAGCCCTGGGCAGGCTTGGCTCTGCCTTCTGCTTGGGCACAGCTGAGGCGTGAAAAGCAACAGCTTTTGGGCCCCTAACTTGGGTAGCACATACCCGGGCCCAGGCTGGTGGCGCACGCGGCCCCCAGCCCACGCGTGCTTTCTCTGTGCCGCCTCCTTCGGCTCCTTCCCCCTTCCCGTGCCTTCCAGAGCCCAGCCTCCGTGTGGGGCCACAGACCTGGGAAGGAGAAGGGGCATTCGGGGTGCAAGGAACACGTGTGGGTCTCGGTGTCTGTGTGTGGGAATAAGGAGTCGGACGGAAGGAGGCAGAGATTCTTTTTTTCCTTGCAAGTAACTCAAGGAGACTGCTTGAAATCCCAGCTCCTTGTCGTGGGATCTTTGGGCAAATGCTGCACCGCCCTGAGCCGTGGTTTCTTCATCTGTGAAGCTGGGGTAACAGCCTGATGAGGCTGGAATAAGACCACATTTACAGCGTTCGCTCTGTGCCCTCTCCTGGCCCCGCAGCGTGCTCGCCTGCAGACAGGCCGTGGGGCCCTCCTGGGCTCAGTCTTCCTCTTCTGCACAATAGGCCGATCCTCACTCTCTCCCACGTGGCGGTGCGACCATGAGTCTGCAGCCACACGGAGACCTGGAGACTTCTTTATGGTTTCCAGGGCCCTGCCCCCTCACGCTGGGAGGGGAGCTTTGAAGCCAACTTCTGCATTCAGAAGCAGCCATTTGATCAAGGCCTGCTCCTCAGAGGCAGCGTGTCACGGTTAAGACGTGGGCTGTGGAATTAGGCTGTGTGACCCTGGGTAAGTCACTTCTCCTCATCTGTAAAATACAGGTAGTAGCAGAACCCGCCTCCCAGAGTTGTTCTGAGGACTGAGTCATGTGTGCCAAGGGCTTAGCCCAGGCCCAGGACATGGTAGGCAACTGACAAACGCTAGAGGAAGTGAAACGACTGGGTCCCCCACCTTACAGGTGGGCTGTCTCCTCCCCATCAGCCTGACACCCTGGGACCGCCCTGCAGTTTCAGGAAATCAGAACCAGGTTACTCTGTGTTGATCCCCTCCCTCTGCAGGTGCTCTTGTGGACGCCACGTGAGTGAGCAGGGAGGTTAACCTAGCTCTCTAACTAGCCATGGAGCTGCAAAGGTGGTGGGGTTGGGGCCTGCCCACCACCGAAGGCCATGCTCTGGACACTGCTAAAGACGGCAAGAACCATCTGCCAGCACAGTTTGGCAAGGGGGTGGCCCATTGGTAAGCCCGTCCCAGCTAGGATGGAGCCTCTGGGGGCCACCAGTCACCCTGCAGGCTCCCCGGGGCCCAGCCGCACTGCAGTCATCCCCCCAGGTCAGACGCCCTTCCGCACTGAGACTAGACGAGCTCCAGCATCCAACACAGGAACAATCTGAATCCGACCAAGCTAGCAGGCAGCAGGCACCTGTCCCTCTCACCTTGTTTGGAGTACCTTCCCATCTCAAAGCCCTTCCAAATGGGGCATCCCATTCATTGTGGGGTAGGGAGGGAGTCCTGGGTCCTCCCCTCAGGGAACCGAGGATCAAAACAACCTGCAGAGCTCAAAGAGACCTTACGGACTACCCAGTTTCCTTTTTCACTTTGGCCACCGGGAAGCACGGAGTCTAATAATAGTTTTACACATGGTTCCTATGAGAGCTTTTATGTCTTCTTACACGTGTGCAACCGATTCCCCCCCGCTTCTATTTTAATTTCCTTATTTTTTGTGCTGAAGTGTGTTCGTTCTTAAATTCATACTCCCCCTCTTCATTGTTTTTGGTTCCTATAAGGCACACACAGCCATTTGTTGTGAAATCACGTAAATACTAATATGAGTACAAAACCACAAGCCTCCTATTGGTAGCCCAGGCTCCTTGTTGTCCAGAAGAGGAAACTGAGGTTTGGAGGGGCAGTGACACTCTGGCCTGGGGACGCTGCTCTTGGTCCGGGACTGGCAGTTCTAGATGTGGCTAGGCCCGGCCTTGTTGCCAGCCGTAGTGGGGACCCTGCCATGGGAGGTGGAGGGCCAGCCACGGATGACTCTGTTTGAAACGGAACATGTGGTTGATGGCTTCTTGGGGACGGAGCTCATGTGGACCGGCCAGCTTCCAAGAGGGTCATGCGTCAGGAGCGTGAGAGAGTGCTCTCTCGTGGGGAGTCGGGGCGGGGGGTCCTCTGAGCTGCAGGGCCTCCTTCGGGAGTAGTGCTGTCGGGGGGTGCGTTGGCTGGCAGCCGCTGTCCTCAGCATATGGCTCATCTAACCCTGTGACAGTTCTGAGGTAGGTACTGTTCTTAGCCCATTTTAGAAATGAGCTGAGGCACAGAGAGGTCAGTAACTTGTCCAAGGTCACACAGCCAGTCAGTACAGAGCCAGCACTTGGGCACGGTCTGTTTTTAGAGCATGCCTGCCATGAGGGTGGAAGGTAATTAGTCCAGAACTTGGGGCATAGGGGGTGCTCACCTGATGGCAGGACCCATAGCCTGGACCTGGTGGTTATCCCTTTCTTCCAGCTCAACCTTCAGCCTGTCCTGGAGGCCTGGGGCCAGCTCAGGCCAGGTGGGAGATCTCATGGGCTGACCTGGAAGCTGGAGGTGGCCTTCGATGGACCTCCCACAGCATGCCATCCTGTTTCCTGTGGGGACTGGGCTCAGCCCGGCTCCAGTGACCGGGCCCCGCTCCCGTCTCCCACCAGCTCTGGGCCATCTGGAGGATAGACACGACAGCCATGCCCTCCTCCTCCCTCACCTGGGGGCTCTCGGCACCCTGCTGGCTAGCACCCACTGTGAAAGGGCCCTTCTCCCCAAAACCTGCTGCCAGGGCCACGCCCAAGGGGACCTTAGGATCAGAGGATGAGGCCCAGCCTGGGGTGCTTTAGCCAGCCACCCCCCAAGGCCCATGGTGAGGGCAGGTTAGCCTGTCTGGGCTTATAACCTGTTCGTTCCAGCCCTTTCCTACTAGCTGGAGCCAGCCACGGGCATCAGCAGCACCTGCCCAGACCCCAGAACCCAGTCACAGATCACCCTGCCAACAAGTCCCCAGAGAGCCCCCCAGGAGCTCGATTACGACAGCCCCACGAATAGACCCTTGGCGTCTACTGGGGCCTGTGCAGGCCTTGGTGACAGTGTCCCAGCCAGTTCCTGCTATAGCCCTCTGAGGGCTGGGGTTATCCCCGATTTGCAGACCGAGAAACTAAAGCCCCAGACTGTCAAGAGAGCCAGAGGAGGGGGAAGATGGTTCTCCCTCAGTGGTCAGGGGAGGCACTGGGGTGGGACATTTCCCAAAAAGCCAAGGATGTGCATGAAGAGGGAAAGGAGCCATGTCTCTGGTCCTTGTGGCTGGAGGGGAGATGTTGCAGCAGCTTCGGGGGGCTGGAGTGGTGGTTTGGGGCTCTGAGGCTGCTCAGGAGGAGAGGGGCTGGTTTGATGTGTTCACACCCCAGGGGCACAGATGGACAATGCTGCAAGACCCAGGCCCTTAGGGGCTCTGATTGAGCTGGGGTGGGGCTAGGCAGCCAGGAATTGGCAAGTTGGCTGTAAGATACTGTGCCCAGGGCTACACTGGGATGAGAGGTCTGGGGATCCCGTAAGGGAGCAGCCTGTTCTGCCTGAGAAGAGTGGGGTTGGGGGGTGGGTGCTGTCAGGGACGGTTTCAAAGAGGCCACGACTTTTGGCTGGCCTGCAAAGCTGCAAAGATGAGTAGGATTTTGCCTGGCAGAGGACCTGGAGTGAGCAAAGCATGGAATTGTCCAGTGAGGTGTTTTTAGGGAGACAACGAGATTTGGGGGGAGTTGGGAAAGAAAGGTGGGGGCAGTGTGAGAAGGGGATGGAGTGCCTCCCCAGCCGGAAGGAACTGGCTGGCTGAAGGCAGGTCCTGTTCCTGTAGCTGACTACGTCCTGAATCCCCAGGGGTTGGAGAGTATCTTTCTGGCGCAGGCCTCAGAGAGGGCAAGGCACCCGCACAGGGTTGCACAGCCTGCCAGCCAGAGACTAAGATCCTTAGCCACTGCCTGAGGGGGCTTGGACTTTATCCTGCAGGCATGGGGAGCCACCGAAGGTTTTTAAAATAGGATAGCATGCGCATTTTTAAAAAAGAGTTTTGTATCTTTAGAAAGGAACTCCCAAAATGGTTAATACTTAATTTGGGGGCCTGAATCAGCAGCAGGGAAACGGGGTTTTGTGGATGGGGGCAGAAAGGGACCCCCAAGGACCACTCAAGTCAAACTATCCACGTGAGGAGGTTCTTGGCACCCCATTCAGACCTGCCTGAGCTGGGGGCCCAGCCAGGGGACATGGGGGGCCCCCAGCAGTGCCTCTGTTCTCCCCTGCTGGAGGGGGCCCCACTCCTGCCCTGGAGGTGCCACCGGTCTGGGCTAAGGAGGGGAGGCTGTGTGTCCTACAGATGCCTTTGTTGGAGGGCGTCGACCCTGTGCCCCAAGGGAGGAGAGCCAGAGGAGGTGCTTTGTGGCAGCTCCAGACCAGGAAGGAGCCTCTGCCCTCCCCCTCCTGAGACATTTCCTCCGGATGAAATCACATCCCAGCAGGGGAACAGGCCCCCTTTGTGAAGGGCTGGGGTCTCAGAGAAAGGGTGCCTTTCAGGCCCTTAAAAATAGCAGCCCTGAGATTGATGAGTCCGCATGGAATGGAGTGGCCCAGCCTCTCCCAGCAGCACGGGCCCTGTCACTCCCATCCCACACCCCCGTGACCTGTTGTTGACCAGCTGGAGTATCCACTAGCCCAGGCGGGGGAGGGGCGGCTGGTCCACCGGGGCTCTCAAGCTCGTCCTCTGCCTCACCCGCTCACTGGGCCTGTCCCTGGCATTATCCAGCACGTCTGGGGCCTCTGCAGACGTTCTCCCCTGCGGTCCTCACCAGAACTTTAGCAGGTGGGGTCAAGCGACATTTTACAGATGAGGAAACTGAGGCACAGCTAGTGAGTCACACGACCAGTGGGTGGTGGGGCCCAGCTTCGAAGCCAGGCAGCCTGGGCACCCAGCCCTGTGCCCAGGATTCTGCAGTGGTGAGCTGGCCGCAGGGACAGGCTGGAGGAGCACCGTGTGGTGCAGTCAGCCCGAAGGAGCCCTGCCACGTGATCTAGGTGGGCACTGGCCCCGAGCATGGCTGCTGACCTCAGGCTGGTCGCCCCCTGAGCCTGGGCAGAGGCCACCACTGGCCGTATCTCTGCGGCGTCTTGACACATCTCGGGCTACGTCTGCACGGCCGGGAGCCAGGCTCTCCCCACTTGCCGCCAGAGAGCGGGGAGGGCAGGGCCGTGTGCACAGGCGGGGCTGTGTGTGCGCGTTTGCAGGTGTGAGGTGAATGGCTCGTGTGAGTTGAAGGAGCGTTAGCCAGTCTAGACTCCCAGAAGTGAAGGGTGGGGATGAGAGGCGGGTGCCCCTCGAGGTGATTGGGGAGAGGGCCTTCCGCGGGGCGCACCTGAGAACAAGGTGTTCTGGGCGGGACCCTCGCCCCTCCAGCCCCTCTGGGACGGCACTCCCCTTCAGCCACCCCCGCGGGGGTCCCTCGGATTAGTGCTTAGAGGGGATTGGGAGCTGCCGCACCTGCTGGGACCGCCCCCCCCCCCCCCAGCCTGACCTCTCAGTCATCCCGTTCGTGTGAGGAGGCCCCTGAGCCCAGTATTTTTAAGGTGAGCCACCTGGAGACAGGGAGGGGCCATAGAGAAGAAACGGGGGCTGAAACACCACTCTTGGCAGCTCTGCCCTGCCCCAGCCCGGCTCCCAACCCACGGTGTCCCAGCCCCTCCCGTCCCGGGCCGTCAGCTGCTGGTCGCTGGTCGGGGACTTGCACCCTGCTGGAGCCCCAGACCCCCGCCCCCGCCCGGCCACCCCTCCAAGCGGCTCCCGCGCTCTTCATCCTTCTCCCCACTTCCCACAATCCGCGCTCTGACTCCTCCTTGGAGAGAGTGGGATGACATCACTTCCTGAGGGGGGGAGGAGTAGGCACGACCCCGCCAGGCTAGCCCGCCAGGCCTCCAGCTTGCAGGGAGCAGCCTGGCTGCTGAAGTGGCTGCACCAGAGAGAGAGGGACCGAGACGGGCTGGCCTGGACATGCCGGCTGGCCACCCGGCCCCATGGCCCCTCGTCCGACCTGAGCGCCGTGCCCACCGGCCGGGGGATACTTGGTCACTTGCTTCCCGAGTGATGCTGGTCTCCGAGGACACTTGCTTTCCCCGGAGCCGTCACCGGGGAGAGGAGGACTTGCCGCCCACCTCTGGACCAGGTGCCATGTAAGCCTCTGAGCCTGGGGGCAGCTGCCCAGCAGCAGGGCACCCACCCCCACAGCAGGGGTTCCTCTGCACAGTTCAGCGCAGGGCTACCCTGGAGCCCCTCACCAGTATCTCCCAGACCAACCCCCCCTCGCCGTGTGGGGAGCCTCCTGGCCCGCAGCGCACCCCTTGCTCCTAGGGCTCTAGGGCGTGGGGGCCCTGGATTCCTGGGCCCTCCTCCTTGAGCTTGCCTGTGGCTGATCGGAATTCAGCTTCAGAGAGTTTTGAACCGGGCAGCAGAGGCTGCATGGCTCAGGGTGGGCATGGGAGCTGTGGTTGCCAGGAGGATGGGATGCCCTGCAGGACTTACTCACTGCCCTTCCAGCAGAGGGGCTGGGGGGCCCCAGTCACGCCCCTGACCCCAGATCCCAGCTCTGTCCCTCCCTACCAAGAGGCGTAGCTGTGGTTGGGCACTGTGATGAGTGTGAAATCGAGGCATAGAGCATACTCCCGGGGGTCCAGCAAAGCAAGAAACTGGAGACCTCATTCAGCACATCTTTACTGAGCACCTGCTATGTGCTGGGTGCTCTCCTGCCTCCATACTTGCTAGATCCATGCGTGCCCTTCCCCCCCTCCCCAAGGTCTTCAGCCTTCTACTTGTCTTGCTTGGTTTGTGCTGAGGAACAGGCTCATGCTTGGTCTGGGAAGCCCTCACCCCACCCCCAAGGACTACATGCACTGGGCCAGGTCTCCTTGAGAAAAGGCAGCAGGAAAGCTGGGGCTCCCCTCATCCCATGTAGGGGGAGGCAGAGGTGAGCCCAGGTCTTTAAGGGACGTGATCAGTTACTATTGCAGTAACCCTAGGGAGAGCCGATTCCAAAGGGCTGGTGCCAGTCTTGGGGACAAGAGAATCCTCAGGGGTAAGGCCGCAGCCCGTCTCTGGCTGTGGAGGGTGGATAGGGTTGGAGGTGGGTCCTGCCCAGGCATGGATCAGCATTTCCAGTGGCCTGGAAGTACCCGGGCCGTGGGGCCTGGGAGAGATGCTGGTGTGCTGTGCCCACCTGGCCAGGAGTGTGGTGGCTCCGGATGCCGCAGCAGCCCAGGCAGCCCACAGGGTGCTCTGCTGCCTTTCAGGAGGTGAGCACCAGGCCCGCTGAGCCTCTGCAGAGCTGCCAGCCATGCCCGGGATTGTGGTTTTCCGGCGGCGCTGGTCTGTGGGCAGTGATGACCTCGTCCTGCCAGCCATCTTCCTTTTCCTCCTGCACACCACCTGGTGAGTCCTAGGGCCGTGCCACAGGCCTGGAAGAAGGCTTTCTGGCCATCCGTCCCGACCCTGTCATGCTCCCAGCTCCTAGCAGTTGGTGTCTGGAGCACCCACCGCTTAGGGAGATGCCCACGTGGAGCCCAGAGACCCTGCCTGGCCACCACTGGACCCAGCGCCATCACCGGGCAGGGCTGCCACCGCTCCCCGCCCACGGCCAGCACCTGGGCTCCCTGCTCTCGCTTCCCTGCCCCCAGCCGCCCGTGTCCTCAGAGGCATTAGCTGCCAGGTGGACAGCGGTCCTGAGCCCGAAGCAGTGAAGCCCTCTAGCTGCCAAGTCCCAGCTGGCCAGGGTCCATGGGAGGTGCCCAGACTGCCCGGCCCCCTCTCACGTGTGCGTCTCTGCAGGTTTGTGATCCTGTCTGTGGTGCTCTTCGGCCTGGTCTACAACCCAAACGAGGCCTGCTCCCTCAACCTGGTGGACCACGGCCGCGGCTACCTAGGCATCCTGCTGAGCTGCATGATCGCTGAGATGGCCATCATCTGGCTGAGCATGCGCGGGGGCATCCTCTACACGGAGCCCCGCGAATCCATGCAGTACGTGCTCTACGTGCGCCTGGGTAAGGGCCACCCGCCGTGGGTGGGGGCTGCTCCAGACCACCCCCACCTCCACCCTCCTCCTTGTGCTCCACCACTGAGTCGGCTAGCATTTGTGGGGCACATGCGATGGGCCAGGCCCTGGGCCAGCACCAGGGTCCAGCCGCGAACCAGCAGACTTACTGGGCTTGTGTTCTAGACCAGGGGTGGGCAGACTGCAGCCCGAGGGCCACATCCAGCCTGCCGTCTGTTTTTGTAAATAAAGTTTTATTGGAACCAAGCCACACTCATTCACTGATGTACTCACTGTCTCTGGCTGCTCGGGCACAGTGCGGCAGAGCTGAGTAGTCAGGACAGAGAAGAGGACCCGCAAAGTCTAAAATATTTACTCTGGCCCTTACAGGGGAAGTTTGTTGTCCCCTGTTCTAGGCCAAGCACCTCTAGCTTCTGCTACTTTGAAATCCTCCCCCAAAGAGAGCCCCCCTTCCCCGGAAGCCCCTCAGGGGTCCGGATCAGCTCCCTGGAGGGCCTGCCTGTGTCTTCTTTCCAGGCTCGGATTCCAACCACTCCTCCCCATCTTTCCTACGCGTGCTTCCAGGAGCTGTGCTAAGCCCTTCCCCTTGTTAGCTGAGGGAGGAGCCATTATTGGTCTCCCTTTACAGATGAGGAATCTGGGGGCCCCCCTCCCCGGGGGGGTTAATAACTCCCTCAGGGTCACATGGCGTGTGTGTGTGTGTGTGTGTGTGTGTGTGTGTGTCAGAGCTGAGATTTGAACCCAGGTTGTCTGTCTCCTAAGCCCGGCCTCTCAGCTGCCTCGGGCACTGCCTCTGGAGCTGGGTCCTCTAAGGCTGCCCTGTGCCCCCAGCCCCCTGGCCTGAGCAGCAGCTGCTGCCCGCAGGGGCCCCTCCCTCCTCCTGCCCCAAGTGCTGGAGCCTCCTTCTGGGAAATAGCAGTCTCCGTGAGATGAACCCTCTCTCATCTAATTCTCCGCAGTCCTGTAACGCAGACGTTGTCACCCCATTTTACAGATGAGGAAGCGGAGGCCCAGGGAGATTAGGTAACTTGCCTAAGATACGTCTGATAGCAGAGTTCATGGACATAAGTCTAAAATCCTGAAAGAAAAGAGAAATGCCTCTTCATCATCCACCCCTGCGCTCACCCTCTCGGGGAGGTGTCGGGGGGCCTGAGGACACTTACACTAGAACAGGTGGTGGGTGCGTCGGAGCAGGATGGAGCGGTGGTGGGACAGCCGCGCTCCCTGGGCCCTACCTGCCACGAGGCCTGTGCCGGGGGCGGGGGGCGGGCGGGGGTCTGGTGCCCCTGCTGCCGAGGGGCCAGGCAGAGGCTCCGGGGCCCTTCCCGGGCAGGCCGACCGTGGCCGTCCTTCAGCCTGGCCCCTGCTCTCCTCGCAGCCATCCTGGTGATCGAGTTCATCTATGCCATCGTGGGTATCGTCTGGCTCACTCAGTACTACACCTCCTGCAACGACCTCACTGCCAAGAATGTCACCCTCGGTATGTCAGCCAGCCCCAGTGGTGGCCGGGACAGGGTCAGTTCAGAGAGGACGAAGCTCAGGCACCTCCCAAGGGGGACGGTTGCTGTGAGGATGCCGGGCAGGATGGTGGCTGAGGCTGTGGGCTTCCTCCCGAGCTCGGCCACCCGCCCTCAGGGGAACCTGCTGTGGAGGGGTGGGCAACAGTGGAGGGCCCCTCAGCTCCTCACTGGAAACCCCCAGAGCTGCCTGCTCCATACCCAGGCTGGGCCTTGGGGTCATGGCTCAGCACGGGGCAACCAGGTGGCCAGAGGCTGGGGTCAGGGGCTTCTGAGCCTTGCTCTTGGGCGCCAGAAGCGGATGATGATAGGGAGGCGCCAGGGCCCCTTTCCGCAGAGCAGGTGAGCCAGGGAGGTCCCCGCCAGCACCTCCACCTCTTGCTTCCCACTGCTGCCCTGCAGGGATGGTCGTCTGCAACTGGGTGGTCATCCTCAGTGTCTGCATCACCGTCCTCTGCGTCTTCGACCCCACGGGCCGCACCTTTGTCAAGCTGAGAGCCACCAAGAGGCGGCAGCGCAACCTCCGGACCTACAACCTCCGGTGAGTGGGCCGGGCGGGCGGGCAGCCCCCTAGGAGATTTGCGGGCAGGTGGGCAGAGCTGGCCCCCGTGCCTCCCAAACCATGTATCAGCTTGTGGGAGCCATGGGCATTGGTGACAGTCTTAGCCTCCCCCGGCCTCAGTTTCCTGGTCTGTAAAGTGGGAATCGTGACTGCTCAGACTGCAGCCGTGAGATTTAAATAAAACAAGCGCAGAGCGGTTGATGTTCTGCTCGCACATTTGGTACGTGCTCAGTCAGTGCGGCCATCGTGCCCATTGGCACCATCTTCAGTGCTGTTAACCATGCGGTCATCACAGCAGGACGCACGCCCGAGCCAAGCCAAGCACGTGGGGCTGCTTGAGGGGGCTGTTAGCATCATCCCTGCAACACAGACAGAGCTGGGACTTGCCCAAGTGACACAGCTGGGATATGGTGGGGCTCGGCTCCAGCCCAGGCGGTCTGGCTTTAGGACCCTTGCTCTTTTTTTTTTTAAAGATTTTATTTATTTATTTATTTATAAAGATTTTATTTATTTATTTGACAGAGAGAGACACAATGAGAGAGGGAACACAAGCAGGGGGAGTGGGAGAGGGAGAAACAGGCTTCCCACTGAGCAGGGAGCCTGATGCGGGGCTCGATCCCAGGACCCTGGGATCATGACCTGAGCCGAAGGCAGACGCTTAACGACTGAGCCACCCAGGCGCCCCAAGATTTTATTTATTATTTGAGAGAGAGAGACAGCACAAGTGGGGAGGAGAGGGAGAAGCAGACTCCCCGATGGGGGGCTTGACCCCAGGACCCTGGGATCATGACCTGAGCTGAAGGCAGGCGCCTAACTGACTGAGCTACCCAGGCGCCCCTAGGGCCCTTGCTCTTAACCACTAGGCTGGGCTGCCTCTAGGATTAAGGGGGCTGGAGAAGGTTAATCAAGGAAGGCTTCCTGGAGGAGGTAAGTTTTGCATGATGTTATGAGGGAAGGGGAATGCTGTGCCATGGTAAAGAAAATGAGAGAATCCAGGGTCACAGGAATTCCTGTTTAGTGAAAGAAAAAGATGGGCGGGGTGGGGTGGGGGCTTCGGCGGGAGGGGGCATGGAGCTTCTACTATGACTTAGGCCCTGCCATGAGTCCTTTCCCACCATCAGCCCATTCAGTCCTTTTGCCGACCCTGGTGTCCTTAGGAGACCCATTCTACAGATGCGGAGTCCAAGTTCTGGAGAGGGCAGGTCACTTGCTGCAGGTCACGCTGACGGGGAGCAGACCTGGCACTCCATCCCCAGGGCAGGGGAGTCAGGAGCCCTCGGCCAGGCCAGCGGGTTGCCCAGGCCCCCAGGCCCAGTGGGAATTCTCCTCACCCCACCCTCCTGCACCTCTGCTTTCAGCTCCTCTCAGGCCCTCCACGTCAGCTCGGCAGATCGGCCAGAGCCACACCCGCGCCTGGGCTGGCCATCTCCCAGCCCAAAATACCAGGTCTTGGATCCAGGGCCCTGGAGCCTGTTCTCCCTCCTGGCGTAGCAAGCCACCACCACCCGTCCCATTTTGCTCATTCTGAGCATACGCCCCCACCTGACCTGGTTTCTAGGCTTCTGGGGCCCTGGGAAAAAATCTCCCCTCCCTGACTCTGGGTAATTGCCTTTGGGGCCCAGGGAAGCCAGCGCCTTTGCAGCTGGGGGCTGTCGTTTTAATTAGAAAGTTTTCCTGCAGTTTCGGGCCCTGTGGGGGTGAGTGAGAGGCCTCAGAGCTCACAGGCTCTGACCTGTTGCATCTTCTCCAGCTCTCTGCAGGGGTCAGGAGGGCAGCCTAGGCTGCGGCTTGGTTAATGTGACCACCTCTTGGGCTTGTCTCCACTGGCCCTCCCTCAGCTCTGAAAACATCAGTTTTTCTAACAAGGACATTTTCAAACCTGCCTGCCCTTCATCCACTTCCAGGTTTGGGGACGCACACAGACCCCCCCGTGCCACACTGATAGGTTGTTTTAGCATCTCTGGAAGTCAGGAAGCTGTTTAAGTCCCGGGCCCTCTCTCCTGCTGATGAAATCTGGTAGGGGTGGGGAGATGGGTTCTTCCCAGCACTGCTCCCTGGGAGCCTCGACCTTGGATCTTTGCAGGGGCGTCTGCATTCCCAGAGGGGTGCTGGGTCCATGTACTTGCTGTCCAGCTTCACTATCTGCCTGTGCTGGTCTCTGCAGCCTAACTGATGCATTAGGCCAAACCTTTCCCTGGCTCCATCTGCCTCCTGGTGGGCATAAGGGGTAGTGCAGTAAAGCGTACAGTCAGCACTTGATCAGCCAGAGGCCTGGCAGGAAATATGCTTTGAATGTTTAAAAGCCCATTAGATTAGAAAGGGTTAAAGAATGTGATGCTCTGGGATCCCGGCTTGCCAGCATGCTGTCCCTCTATCAAGCCCCTGGCAGGGGGATGTTGCTTTATGATGTAAGGCTGCCCAAGTCCCTTAGAGCTCGTAGATTCCAGAAGCAGCAGTTTCCTTGTATCCTTCTTACGCTCTCCTAACTCCTCCTCTAGTCCTGGAAAGCCCTGTGGCCTTCCCTGTCCTTGTGGCCCACTGCCTTATGGAACTAGGGCTGTAGGAAGCAGCGCTTTGCTGCAGAGGGAAGCCAGAGGGCTCAGGAAGGAGGGCCTGGCCTGTCGCTCCTGATGGATACTAAGTGCCTTGCAAGCATTCGGGGTCACCGTGCCTTCCCCTACTGACCACTAAGCATCAGCATCTGCAGGGACCAGAGGGAGGGGAGGGCACATGTCACGAAAGCAAACCAGCCTCTTCTTGCTCAGTCTGGAAGCTTACATATTTAATGTTGCGTCTCTTAAATTTATGCTCAAAACACATCGATTTCGGGGCACCTGGGTGGCTCAATTGGTTAAGCGTCTGCCTTCAACTCAGGTCATGATCTCAAGGTCCTGGGATCAAGCCCCACATTGGGCTCCCTGTTCAGCAGGGGAGTCTGCTTCTCCCTCCTCCTCTCCCTCTGCCTCTCCTCATGTGCTCTCTCACTCACTCTCTCTTGCAAATAAAAATAAATAAAATCTTTAAAAACAGAACAAACAAAAAACCACACCGAGTTCTGGGCACCCAGCATTGGAAGGGCCTCTGTGGATAATCGGCCAGCCGCTCTGCCCTTGGGTGTGGACTGCTGGATACCCTGACTCACCATCAGAGCAGCTAGACACGTTGGGGCTGGGGCTGGGGGCGGGAATGGACAGGCGCCAGCCATGCAGATGAAAGGCGGGGGCCCTTGTCCCCTCTAAAGTAACAGACCCAAGGAGTTGGGAGATGCAGAGCCTCATGTGCCCCTTAAATTTCCCCCAAGTACAGAAAGTGCTGGGTATCTGAAATCCTTTCCAAGGGGAAGCAAGTCTGTCCTACAGGTCTGCTCTGGTGAGTTGGCTAAGAGGCCCAGCTACAGTGTCCCGGGGCTCTTAGTTTGAGCCGTTGGACACCTGAGCCACAGAGCGGCCCCCAGTTTGGGCTCCCACCTCTGAAGCCCGCTGGGCATGCTGGTGTTCAGTCTGCCAGAAGCTGGGAGCATGGCCAACCGTAGGCCATCTTAGGCCAGCAGGGTCCCCCCAGGGGACCCTGGCCAGGCCCAGGCCTGTTCTCTCCTAGACCCCCTGCTGGAGAGCCCTCTGGTGGGTCAGGGCCACCCTGTTCCCCTCGCATCTGGTCCCGCCCCCTGACCTCACACATACCAACTCTGTCCTCTTGCAGGCATCGCTTGGAGGAGGGTCAGGCCACCAGCTGGTCGCGCCGGCTCAAGGTGTTCCTGTGCTGCACTCGGACGAAGGACTCCCAGTCAGTAAGTACCGGGACGTCGCTTCCCTCCGGCACACACCCGGCCGCCAGCCACTGAGGGGCCGCCAGTCCTCGGCACAGCCGGTGGGGCAGGGCTGCCAGAAGGGCGCTGGGTTTTGAGCAGGAGCAAGGTGAGGACCTGGTATCCACTGACCAGCTGACTCCCTCCTGCATGTGAGATGGCCGATCCCTGGCTTTGTCGAGGGGACGGAAAGGTTTCAAGACCTTTCATCCACCCCCTTGCAACTTAGAGTAGTTTAGGAGAGGAGACACTAAACAAGCAGGGTGACCTGAAAGCACAGAAAAGCAGCGTGTCACCAGCTGCAAAGGCCTCTGGAAGATCCGTCGCAGCTGTCAGGCGCCGAGCCCAGACGCGCGCAGCAAGCCTCCGGGCCTGGTGCTCGGAAGAGCAGCCTGAGGGGCCTGGTGCTGCCGAAGCAAGGCCGGCTCAGTGGAGGGCAGCCCCTGGGGGGGAGGTAGGGCCCCTGGGGTCCTCGAGACAGACCCCCCATGCCAGCAGGGCCCTTAGAGACCATCTAGTGTCCCCCCACCCCCCGCCCCTCGTTTTTCAGATCAGACAGCTGAGGCCCAGAGAGGTGGTGTGACTTGCTCAGCGTCCCACAGCTAGTTAGTGGCAGAACCAGTGAGGTCAGGAGACCACTCCTCCCTGAGCCAGACAGCAAGTGCCCTCCATGGAGCCACCGGAAGCCTGAGTGGCTCCTGCCCTCCAGCAGCCCCTGGTGAGCTGTAGAGTGAGTAATCAGGTATAAGAAAGCCCCCCTCTCCCCGGAGGTTCCCGGGTGGGCGGGGATCCCCCCCATGGGCCTCTCTGGGGGGTCGAGGGGGATGCACCCAGCCCTCCTGGGCACATGGCAGAGTTGGGGCTGATGTTAGGGCACTGCGGGGAGGGGTGGCCCAGGATCTGGGTCCCGTCAAACACTGGGGATCAGGTCCAGCCCAGAGCACGTTTTGATCCCTCTGTACCTCTGGCTTCAACTCTGAATTGAGTGCCAATGTGAAGAAGCAGGGCATTCATATACAGGTTCGTATTTCTAGATCTGGCAGTGGGGGCCCCTCGCAGGGCAGTCAGCCGGAGCCGACTAGTAGCTAGCGTCGTTTGGCCTCATTAGGCCTTTGAGTTTGCAACCCCCGATTTTTGTTCTCTTACAAATGCCGGGCACTCAAGGGTGAAACCCAGCGAGAACCACTTGCCGTGAGTTTGCTCTCATCGCAGCGCCACCCCCCCAACAGGTTAGGGAAGAGGTTCCCGACTCCCACGCGGACCGAGGCGGGGAGGATGCCGAGCGCAGGGACGGGCGGGGCTGCCTTTGGATGTGCACCTCCTGCCTCCTGCCCTGGGCTCGGGCTGGCCCGAGAACCAGGCTTGCGGGGAAGCCAGAGGGGCCACAGGCCCAGCGTCCTCACCCTTATCCAGGCACATCGTGAGGGTCCCTGAGCCGGCAGCTGTGGGCAGGTGGGGGAGGGGGCCTGCCACCCCCCCACCCCGGAGGCTCGGCCCTTAGGAGGCCTTTCCAGGTCACAGCTGCTGGGAGGTGGGAAGCAACTCAGTGTGGGGAGGCAGCAGTCAGGAGCTCAGTTTGGGCTTCTCTGCTAGAGAGAAAGGCGGAGGAGAAACACGCCGGGCTGAGCAGGCCTTGATTCCTAGTGGCTGGGGAAAGAACAGGAAATGGCTCACGTTGGCATTTGTGCGTGGTGGGCGGTGACGGTGAGTGCCGTAGGAGCTTCGAGGACAGGAGAGGGCCGGGAGGTGGAGGCCGGACAAGGCTCGGTGCCTGTCGCAGACAGCTCTGGCCACGTCTGCGGGGTTCCAGAGCCCAGGCCAGGGCCCTCGGGGTCACGGCTGCAGAGGGCCAGGCGGGGGTGGGCGAGCTGGCCCTGGGCCCGGAGCAGGGCCCCAGCCCCGGGGGATTCACGCCTGGTCTCTCACCCTCTCTCCCGCTCCCCTGCCCCGCCTCCCGCCCACCCCCGGACCTCACAGGACGCCTACTCAGAAATCGCCTACCTCTTTGCCGAGTTTTTCCGAGACCTCGACATCGTGCCGTCCGACATCATTGCTGGCCTGGTGCTGCTTCGGCAGCGACAGCGGGCCAAGCGCAACGCCGTGCTGGACGAGGTGGGCGCCACCCTCCTCCGGGCCTCCCCCCGCCGCCCTGCTCCCAGGGTCCCTCCGGTCACCCCCTGGTGCCAGCTCCCCTCCTGGCTCTGGCTTGAGGGACGTCCCTCTGCTGGGCCAGCCGCCGTGGGCTTCTAACCACGTGGCCCTCGTGAATAACGATGCTCAGCGCCTCGGCCCTTCGCACTTGCCTCCATCCCACCCCCCCAACGCCCCGATCCCAGCCGGGACCTCCCAGCATCCCCTACAAAGCACGTTACCCTCAGCCTGGGCAGGAATGTCCCTGGGGCAGCGGGGGGGTGTTTGATGCTTTTGGTGGAAAGAGAGCAGTGGACATGTGAGGAGACCTCAGATTTGGGGAAACTGGCTGGGTCATGGAAGAGCTAGAAACCACACCCTCGTTTGGGCGTTCAGGCCCTTGGGAAGCAGGCAGGGTCAGAGCCTAGGGGGCTGGACCCCCTTTCTCAGCCATGCCCCCTGGATCTGGGACAGCCACCTTCACACCCCGGTTTTGCAGGCGAACAATGACATTTTGACCTTCCTGTCTGGGATGCCAGTGACCAGAAACACCAAGTATCTCGACCTCAAGAACTCGGTGAGTCAGACCCCCTGCCCCGGGTCCCTCGCCCTCTGCTGGGGCGGCCTGAGCGGGCCACCTGCCCACTGCCCCAACGGCATGGGCAGCACCTCCTCCTCTGTGGGTCCCCCTGCAGCTCCCCACGTAGCCTCCCTCCTCAGTTCACACCCCTTCCTCCTGAGGACCGCCCCCATCATGCTGGTCCCACGGTCAAAACCCTGGAATCGGCTTCACCACACTCAGAATGTTCGGTCCTGGCCTCTTGAGATCCTAAAGTGCTTCCCAGGCATGCGCGGCTTACACGGTTGCTACTCTGTTCTCCTAAGAGGCAGCACGACGTAGTACCGCACTGCTTACGGAACCTCTTCCAGGCTTCTGTACTAGAGCCCCAGTGTTTCACAGGTAAAGGTGGGGCCGGTCCCGTGGCCAGGGGAGCCCCTGCACCACCACAAGGGTCCTGGGCTGCCCAGGCCGACGCTGCAGCTGGCAGCCTCAGGAGCAAACCGATTTGGGGGTGCTTCAGCTCTGCCACTGTTGCTGTGACCTTGAGCAAGTCCTCCGTCCCCTCTGAGCCCGTTCCTGAGTGGGTAATGATGCTGGGCATACCTTCCCCCCAGAGCTCTAGTGGGGAGGAAATGAGCCATTCTGAGTCCAGTTCCGCAGTCGGGACCGACTCGAAAGGATTCCTCCCTTGTATCTAGATCCCCTAGAAAAGCCTCCAGTCCCCGTCTGTCCCCACTGCCCAAAGTAGCTGCGTGTATCCCCTCTGAAAATGGCCCGCCCGCAGCAGGTGCCCCGCCTGGCCTCGCTTACCTGGGTCGCCCCGGGCTCTCTCGCCATGTGAGGGGGGGGCAGAGGCAGGCCGCAAAGCCTTGAGGTGCTGGGGTCCCTGCCTGCCACTTGGCAGAGCCTGCCAGCGCCCCGCCCTCCAGCCGGAGCCGAGCTCCGACACACGGAGAGGATAATTACCTTCTCTAGCTCATTCCTAAAGAGCAGACAGAGCTGGCCCGGGGATGGTTCCACCCCTCTGGGCTCTTATTAAGGAGCTACCTATTTCACTTCAGAAGATGACTAATCACCCTCTTTAACTTTTACAAGGTGACTAATTCCCCCTAAGTGCAGGAGCCCTCCGGCGCCTGGCACTCCCGGGACACTGGAAGCCGCTTAGCTGGGACACCTGTGTCTCCTGTCTCCTTCCAGCGCATTGGGCTGATAATTACAATAGCCACCGGCCTCAGATGCTGGGTTTCAAACTGGCGCCTTTCTCTGCAGAGATCCCAATCTGCTCCAGACATCCATGGGGAGCCTGTGACTTGCCCAGTCAAACTGGAGTCTCCCCATATTTGCAGACAAAGAACTTGCGGGCTGAGAGAGTGTTGCTGATTTGTCAGGTCACCCAGCGTCTACAGGGCCAGCCCTACTGCTCAAGGCCCGGACACCCCCAGCTGGAGGGCAGGGCCCAGGGCCTCTGAGGGTTAAACTTCCCTTCCCAGGCCTGATTGCTAAGGCGGGTGATGGCCACTCACGCCTCCCCCTCACTTCCCTTCTCTGGAAAACAGGCAAAGAAATCGATCCAGTGCTCCGAGTGGTTTTCTGTCCCCAAATCATTAATTTGGAGGTTGGAGCATCAGGACAGGCCCCAGGAGGCTTCGTGCCCTGGTTGCATGGAGATAATTAGGGAAATGGAATTATCATCTGGAGGAGCAGTCCTTCCTCCAAGGCGGGAGCACGGTGGGCTTGCAGTCCCTGGGGAGGTCAGGAGGGCCGCTCCCTCCTCCATCCAGGGGAGCCCTTGGGCCTAGAGGCTGTAGGCCGGAAGGGTGAGAGGTGACCACCTCCCCCTGCTTTCTTCCAGCAAGAGATGCTCCGCTACAAAGAGGTCTGTTACTACATGCTCTTCGCCCTGGCCGCCTATGGGTGGCCCATGTACCTGATGCGGAAGCCAGCCTGTGGCCTCTGCCGCCTGGCGCGGTCCTGCTCGTGAGTACCCCTGTCCCGTCCTTCCGGCCGGCCAGCGTGTGTGGGCGAGCAGCGGTCCTGAGGCTGGGCCAGCCTGGGGGAGACTCTCCCCCACCTCCGTGGTCTGTGGCCTGCGTGGCTTCTCTTCCACACCGCCTCTGGGCTTCGGCCTCTCTAGGTCTGCATTATCCTTAGGCAGGGAAGAGCGTGGGCTCTGGAATCACACAGTATTTGGTTTGAATCCAGATGTTGTCGCTGGCAGCCATGGGCGAGTCGGCCTACCTCCGCAAGTCTCAGTTTCCTTATCTGTAAAGTGGGGATGGCCATACCTACCTCCTGGAGTTGGTTTGAGAGGATTGAATGAGGGTTGCCCAGCATCGGACCCTGCTGGCTCCCTTCTCCTCCCGCCCCTCTCTGCCTCGCTCCCCTCTGCCTACGTCTTTCTTCTCCTGCTCCTGTCCTGTGGTCTGCCTTTCTGAAAGAAGGGACTTTCCTAGTAGAGGCCCAGTCCATGGAGGCCTCTGGAAGGGCGTCAAGAAGGCCCTTTAGTGAAAGACTTTGACCCTCTTCACAGGGATTGGGCAAGCACCTGCCCCAGACCTGCCCACAAGCCAACCCTGGGCACCAGTGGACTCTGCTTTCCCAACTGGGCCAGAGAAGGGCACAGCTCCAGGAGGGGCCCTTCCCCGTTGGTGTCTGCACCTTCAGCCTGGCCCAGACAGAAGGAGGACAGGTCCCTGGCTCCCTCGTCTGGAAAGGCTGACCTTCTGTCTGTGACACCCCTGCCCTTGGGGTAGCCACACCCCTCCTGCGCTGCCCTTCCTTTCTGCAGAAGGCTGGGTGGCCCTTGGGACCCTGTTCTCCCATCCCCAGTGACTCACCGAGTGAGTGGACCAGGCACCCCATGCCCCCTCCCACAGCTGGCGTTCCTTCCAGCATCCTTGGGAGTCCCTGCCACTGCTGAGAAGCTTCTCCAAATGAGCACCAGACCAGGAGCCTCGAGCCCTGGGCTCTGACAGGCTCTGCTCCGTTACTCATTGGCGGGGGGGGGGACATCGCCACCTGGTGCCTGTCCCGCCTGCCCATGGGGTATTTGAGAAGCCAGGGAGTCGCTGGCAGGCTGGGCCCTCGGGGGGATGTGCAGACAGGAGGGATGCTTTGTCAGCTCCTCAGGGCTGCGAGGAGAAAGCCCAGGTGTATGTCCCTGAAGGCCACATTGTGGTGTCCACATGCCAGCTGAGGCTGCAGAGAGGAGGCAGCTCCCTGGGAGCAGGAGTCTGGCCCCCAGACCCGGGCCGGCCCCCACTTGGCCCTGCAGTCGGGGGAGGGCTCCCCCCATGTGCCTTGAGGTGGTCGCCCACCACAGGCCCCGTGGCTTCCCAGACTCGGCTGGACCCTGAGTTTTCCCAGCGAGGCCTCTCCTCATTGGGAAGTGGGTAACAGTCCCTTAGGCGCTGCTTGGGTGAGGACAAACCTCTCAGCATCCCCGAAATTCAGGACTCTTCACAAAATCTCAGCTGTCCTCTCCAGACAGGGAGCCCCCAGGGGCCTGGTGTTCTGGCTCACGGCTCCAAGGCCCCATCTGTTGGCTGCTGGCTCCCTCTGGCGGCCTGAGGAGCCGCTGCACCCCGAGCAGCGTGCCCCCCTCAGACGCTCCGCTGTTCATTTGGGAGACGCCTCTGTGTGTCTGGTGCTGGGCACGTGGCTGCACACGGGGCCGAGCAGCCCCGGCCCTGGGGAGCCGTTGCCGGGGGGAGACGCAGACAGTACACAGACAAGGACGCGGAGCCTCTAGGACCAGAGGCACGCTTGGGAGAGAAATAAAGGGGGTGTTGTCCGGCCGGGGAACACTGGCAGGGGGCTGGCTGGGCTAGAGGGGCCGTCCAAGGTGGACCTCACCATGACAGACATTTGAGCAGAGGCCCGAAGGAAGTGAGGAGTCCGGTTGGGCAGCCTGGCCAGTGCATCCGAGGTGGGCAGGAGGGCCAGCAGGGCCCGAGGGAGGTCGGAGGCAGCGAGCCAGGGAACCGGGCCAGATGGGGCAGCGCCGGTGACCCTCGCAAGGACTCTGGCTCTTACACTGGACGGGAAGGGCATCGCTGTCGGGTTTCGAGTGAAGCGACGCGGCTCGACTTAGATCTTAGGGGGTCGCTCTGGCTGCCAATGGAGAACGTCGAGGGCAAGAGTAGACGAGGGAGGCCCGTCAGGAGGCCACCGTGACGCTCTGAGGCAGAGGTGATGGTGGAAGGGGGGCATCTGGGGGCCCGGAGCAGGTCAGGCGGTTCGGGAGCTCAGAGGCGGGAGACGGGTGAGGAGCTAGGGAGGAGAGAAGGGCGCAGCTATGGCAGAGGACGGGCCCAGGGAGGCCGCCAGTGAGGGGGCAGCGATGGAGGGATGAGGCGGGGAGAGCGGTGCGGGGAGAGGGAGAGGCCCACCGGGTCCCCTGCCGCCAGGAGGCCGAGTAGGGCGAGGACTGTGGGACCTCTGGGGGGCGCTCCAGAGAGGCTGGCAGGGACAGGTGCTCTGGGGTCTCTGAGCCCCTGCCCCCCCCCCGCCAGGTGCTGCCTGTGCCCCGCGCGGCCCCGCTTTGCCCCAGGAGTCACCATCGAGGAGGACAACTGCTGTGGCTGCAATGCCATTGCCATCCGGCGCCACTTCCTGGACGAGAACATGACCGCGGTGGACATCGTGTACACCTCCTGCCATGACGCGGTGAGGGGCCACGCCGGCCCACGTGCAGCGCCCCCCAGCCCCCAGCCTTTGTCCTCGGTGGGCCTTGGGACCTGTCCCCTCCCCCCAGCCAGGCCTGCACCCCCCTGGGGCTAGGGAGTGGTCCCCGACCCGCACCGTGGGGGAGGGGGCGGGGGACTCAACAGCGAGGCCCTGGGGAGGGGGCGCCGGTCCCTGCAGGCTCCGCAGGCAGGACGGCAGCTCTCAGGTGGCCTGAGCTGGAGGGGAGCCTACAGGGAGCCCCGGCAGCCTTGCAGGGGCCCAGGGAGCTGGTTCCTTGGCCAGGAGACCTGTGTAGGTCACTCCCCGAGTCTGGCCCCATCCCAGGGCCACTTGGCTCATGAGCCCCCCTTATCCTAGGTCTACGAGACCCCCTTCTATGTGGCAGTGGACCACGACAAGAAGAAGGTGGTGATCAGTATCCGGGGAACCCTTTCCCCCAAGGTATGCTGTGTGTGGCTCCCAGCCCACCCCTCACGGCCCCTGAGGGGTGTCCGCCTCCCCCTTCCTGTCCCCACCCCAGCCCTCACCTGTCCTCTCTCTCCACAAGGATGCCCTGACAGACCTGACCGGTGACGCCGAGCGCCTCCCCGTGGAGGGGCACCATGGCACCTGGCTGGGGCACAAGGTACTGCTCCTTCCCGGCCCCCGAGGCCCCTTGCCTCCTCTCCTCCCTTGCCAGCACACACACCTGTCCTGCTGTCGGGGTGGGGGGTCCTCCCTGCTTGCTGGGCCCCCAGGGAGAGATGGGTCAGAGGAGCATGGATTCATCTAGAAGATCCACTGTGGCCCACCCACTGGGACCCCCACCGTCCTTCCTGGCCCAGATCCTGCCCCAGAAGAGCCTGAAGAGGCAGCTGGGAAGAGACTGGTTTCCGTGAGACACACAACTCTTCTGAGCCTCAGTTTTGTCATCTGTGAAATGGAAATGATGTGATAAAGTGTCCACCAGCCCCCACAGCCAGGTTGTTAGGAGGGCCAAAGAGGAAATAGTTGGGACAGGATTGGTGAGATTCCAGTCATGGTTTTGCTGGTCTCTGAAAGACCTCCCTCCCGGGGCGCCTAGGCTACAGCCTGTTAAGCGTCTGATTCTTTTGGTTTTTTTTAAATATTTTTTGTTTTTCTTTTTTAAAGATTTTATTTATTTCAGAGAGAGAGAGAGCACGCACATGAGCAGGGGGAGGGGCAGAGGGAGAGGGAGAAGCAGACTCCCCACTGAGTAGGGAGCCCGATGCGGGGCTCGATCCCAGGACCCGGGATCATGACCTGAGCTGAAGGCAGACGCTTAACTGACTGAGCCACCCAGGTGCCCCCAAGCATCTGATCCTTAGTTTCAGCTCAAGTCATGATCTCAGGGTCGTGAGACCAAGCCCTGTGTCCAGCTCCACACTCAGCACAGAGTCTGCTTAAGACTCTCCCTCTCCTTCTGCCCCTACTCCCTGCGTGCTCTCTCTCTCTCTCAAAATAAATAATCTTTAAAAAAAAAAAAAAAAAGATAAAAGACCTCCCTCCCCATGACACCCACCTCTGTCCCTCCTTGTCCAGGGAATGGTCCTCTCGGCTGAGTACATCAAGAAGAAGCTGGAGCAGGAGATGGTCCTGTCCCAGGCCTTTGGGCGAGACCTGGTGAGGCATTTTCCCTGGCACTGAGCCCTGGCCATGCCGACTCTGCCTCCCCCAAAACAGCCCTGGGGGCAGGGTGCGTGCATGGTGGAGCCCCCCTACACCGCACAAGCCAGGCTCCTACACTCCCCTTTGATGCCTGGCTCGCAGCCCCCTCCTCACTTGCTCAGTCCCTCTCCCGCCTCTGACCCCTTCCTCTCTCGTACCAGCATTTCTTGGGCCTCCCTGCCCAGCCCCCCCAGTTATGAGCACCTGCTCCATGCCAGGCACTGGGGGCACGAAGATGGTTCTGGTCAGGGCCTTCAAAATATAGAGCAGGCCACAAAGAAAAATAATTCCAGAGCCCATAGGAAGGGTGTTGCTCTGGTTGGGGCAATCCGGATCCTACCCAGCCCCTGCTCCCCGGGCAGGCAGCCCCCAAGGTGCTCCAACCACCCTTCCCAAAGCCAAGCAGTCCCTGGCCTCAGGAGACCCCAGTCTAGTAGCTGGGGCACAGAAACAGGGGCAGGTGAACCAATGATTATTCTAGAAGATAATCTCCGTAGAATGTACACAATTACAGTAGAGTATAATCACCATATAGAAAGGTCTTCCATGCGTATAGACACAGCGTCTAGGAGGGAGTAAGTCTCTCCTGGAAAATCAGGAGGGGCTTCTCCAAGGAGGTACTCTGAACAAGGTTTTGAAAGGTGAGTGGGAGTTTATTAGAAGAGTCTCCCCAGGAAGTTGCTCTGTGCGAGTCTAGCTTGGCTCTTCCGCTGCCTCAGTGACCATGCCACGCACACCCCGTGTCAGGACTCTGGGAAGACCCCTCTGCCTGCCCGGTATCAGCTGTAGTCCAGACAATCCGTGGGGCAGGGCTCTCAGACTTCTCCTGGTTTTCAGGGCCGAGGAACGAAACACTATGGCCTGATTGTGGTGGGCCACTCCCTGGGTGCAGGCACCGCGGCCATCCTCTCCTTCCTGCTGCGCCCCCAGTACCCTACCCTCAAGTGCTTTGCCTACTCCCCACCAGGAGGCCTGCTGAGGTGAGCAGCCCGGGGCCTGAGCTGCCTGGGGTTGATGGGGGCTAAAGGCCTGGGAGCTGGCCTGGGCAGGCTGCCTTCTGGTCACATGGGGGCCTGGAAATGGCCTGGTAAGTGGAGGGAGGGGTGCTCTGTCAAATGCCAGGCAGACCCCAGGATCTGCACCCCGCAAAGCCTCACGGGCAGGAAAGGTGCGACCAGGAGCACGCAGCCCAGCCTGGCACCTGTGAGCTCCCCAGAGGGCCTTGAACCAAAACATGAACCCCAGGAATGCTGGAGCAGGGCCCCCTCACCACCCCTGCCTTAGCAACCCCTGGCTTCCTTTGCAGCGAGGACGCCATGGAGTACTCCAAGGAATTTGTGACGGCCGTGGTTCTGGGCAAAGATCTTGTCCCCAGGCGAGTTGCAAGTCACAAGTCGCTCCCTCTCACCACCATCCTGGCCAGCTATTCCTGCCTCCTTGGGACCTCTCCCTCAGATTCCCATCTCCCCAGGGAATCCCAGAGCCCCCAGAGTCCCCAGAGCGAGAGGACAGGTGGCCCCACCCTGCCTGAGCTGTGGACTCACCCCTGCCCACCCATCCCACCCCATGATACCGACGGCGTGGTCTTCTCCTTTCTGTGGCTGCCATGGGCCTGCCCCTCTGCCCCCACACACCACACCCCTCCCAGTCCCCGGCCCGGCCAGGCTGACACCCGGCTTGCTTCCTTCCCCAGGATCGGCCTCTCCCAGCTGGAAGGCTTCCGCAGACAGCTCCTAGACGTTCTACAGCGAAGCACCAAGCCCAAAGTGAGTCCCCCGCCCCTCAACCCACTTGGGCATGCTGGGCTTGCACAAAGCACAAGAGAGCCCAGCCATGTGAGGCCAGGCTCGATGTGGCTGATGTCACGGGAACCCCGGGCCATCAAACTCTCAGCACCTCCACACTCATCTTGTCTCCCCTATGGCCTGTCGTTGTACAGAGGGGGAAACCGAGGCCCAGAGTGGGTAAGGGACTTGCTTTTGCTCACACAAGCTGTCAGGACTGGGACCAAGGGCTCCTGAGTGCCAGCCCTGTCACCCAGAGCTGCCTAAAGTCAGGAAAAAGCAGGCCCAAGGCTCAAACTCGAGGTGCTTCGAGTTCGTGACAGGAAGGCCTCTGCCGAGCCCGCTGCGGTTCCCCAGACTCCACGAGTCCTGATGCCACCGCCGGAGGGGGTCTGGGTGCAGTTTGTTCTGATGCTCCGCTGGGGCTAAGGAGAGGCTCAGCCCTGCCTCATCCCTTATCAGGTCTCCAAGCACACGGGGGGCTCTTCCTGTGCCGAGCCAGCCTCAGCGTGCCAGGCGGGCGTGGGTGCTGTGGCCAGGTACCCCGAGGCAGGCAGGAAGGGGCCAACCTGAACCAGCATGTCTTCTCTGACCCCCGGCCCCACCCCACTCATCATCTCCGCCCAGTTTGGACTGTTCCCAGCCTTGGTGCCCATGACCTTCTGGCAGGCAGGGCCCTGGGCCAGGCACCAGGTGGCAGGGGTGGGCAGGGCAGCAAAGCCTTAGGGGGCCATGTCTACCTGCAGGAGCCTGGTTCTGGGAGGCAGAACTGCTCCTATCGGACCCAGGCCTGCGCGCTCGTCAGGCCCGGGAGGTGGGTGGCTGGGGGCCAACCCAGACGTGGCCAGGCCTCGTAGATGCAGCTGGACTGAACTTCGGGGTCTGCTCTGTCTCTGATGCGGGACATGACCCAGAACAAGTCCCTTCCTTTGCTGGGCTGTTTCCCCATCCTCTAGATAAGGAGTTGACTGGTCTTCCAGCCCCTTTCTAGCCCTGAAATTCAACACTGTCATGTCATCTGTCCTTGGCATCTTTTTGGCCATTGTGGCCACCATATGCCTCAGCCACTGCCTCTTCAAGTGGGCACTGTTCTTCCCTCTGCCCCATGGCCATCCATCCCAGCTCCCACCTGTCACCCCTGAGCCCCCTTCTGAGGCCTCTCCTGCCGCTGCCCACCAGCCAGCCCTGGTCAGCTCTGTGCCCATCTCCCCCCCGACCCTGCACAGTGGCGAATTATCGTGGGGGCCACCAAATGTATCCCCAAGTCGGAGCTGCCTGAGGAGGTCGAGGTGGCCACCCTCGCCAGCACACGGCTCTGGACCCACCCCAGCGACCTGACCATCGCCCTGTCCGCCAGCACCCCTCTCTACCCACCCGGCCGCATCATCCACGTGGTCCACAACCACCCAGCAGAGCAGTGCTGGTAGGTGCTGCCTGCGACCCTGGGTCAGCTGGGAGGCAGCAGTGGCCAGGGGCGTGGGGGACGGGGCTGGCCTTGCTTAGCCGACCCCTGGGACTGTGGGCAGAGGCGGGGAGAGGATTGCCCAGGACACTCATGGCAGGGTTGCCCTATCCTTGGGCCGTGGAAGTAGAACAAAAGAGCAGAGCAGGACCCCAGGCTCCTCTCTGGACAGTCCCAGCCTTTGTTCCCAGTGCCAGGCCTTCCCTGGTGTCCCCCAGGGTAGCTCTCCCCACTTATGGTCCATTTAAAAGTGGATGCCCTGGGGGGTCCCCCTGAGGCCCTGGCCAGCTCCCACCTCAGTTGTATGGCATCCCCTCTGGAATTAGTGGGCAGCATTTGTGAGCAGGGCTGGGGCGGGGGTGGGAGAGATAAACGGGCCAGCAGTACATAGACTTCTCCCACTTCAGGCTCTTTCAGAGGGTGGGGCCTGAACCCTCTGTCCCAGTGACAAAAGGCTTGTGAGCTGGGCCTTGCCCAGGGTGGAGCAGGTGTGGCCCAGGCCACGAGCAGGTAGTAGGCTATGTAAGGACTGTGGCTTAGGCCCATTTGGCATCAACGTTCCTGGCCGGGGGCGGGGGAGGGTAAGGGCTTCGGGTGAGGCCAGAGCAGGGAGCCCAGGGACCTGGGGGCCGGAGCCAGGCTGCCACCCACCCTCAGCTTCCCTCCGGCCCCTATGCCCCCCCAGCTGCTGTGAGCAGGAGGAGCCCACGTACTTTGCCATCTGGGGCGACAACAAGGCCTTCAACGAAGTGATCATCTCGCCGGCCATGCTGCATGAGCACCTCCCCTATGTGGTCATGGAGGGGCTCAACAAGGTGAGCCCCCGGGGCATCCTGGGCAGGGACGCCTCATCAGAGCCCTGCAGTGCCCTGTTGGCCAGGTCTCCGTCCCCGTAGGACAGGCAAAGGTGCGGATGCTCAAGAGAAGTGAGCCAGAACTTGCCTTTTGGTCCCCACACCTCTGCTGTCCACATCGCTATGTGGGCCCCATGGCGGGGAGGGGTCTGGGAGTCTCCCAGGGACCTGGCCCATGACAGATGCACAGCCGAGCAGGGGCACCCTCAGCCATCATGTGGCCACGGAAAGGCTGACCATAGGGAAGGAGAACACCAGCTTGGTCCATCTGCAGGGCAAGGCATGATTGCAGGGCCAGTCCCAGGCCGTCCTGGTGGAGCAGGGACCTGGGCTGGAGGTGGGGGGCAGGAGTGGGGCCCGGCCGACCCCATGAGGCTCTGGCCTGAGAGGCTTGGCCTGCTGCCCCGCCCCCACATGTGATTGTCACCCCTCCACCACCGCCACCAGCTTGCCCGACCTGTCCCCAGGTGCTGGAGAACTACAACAAGGGGAAGACGGCCCTGCTCTCCGCTGCTAAGGTCATGGTGAGCCCCACTGAGGTGGACCTGACTCCCGAGCTCATCTTCCAACAGCAGCCGCTGCCAACGGGGCCACCCGTGCCTGCTGGCCTTGCCCTGGAGCTGCCCGCCGCGGACCACCGAAATAGCGTCAGGTGAGCCCTGCCTGCGCAGCCCCATCCCGCCGCGGCGGGGGGGGGGGGGGGGGGGGCGGGGGGGGGGCGGGCGAGTGGCGCCACAGGTGCGTTCCGAGCATGAATGCCTGTGTGCGTGCGTATCCCGTGCATGCGCTGGGCCTCCGGGTGTTCACGAAGCTCTGCACAGCGACGCAGAGGGGTAAGGGACTTGCTTTTGTGCCCGGGATCTCCTGGCCTGCTCCCCGGGCCCCCTAGCCTGCCATCACCGAAGCCCACGTGGCGTGGTGGTCACCTAGGGATGCACAGACCTGGGGCCACAAGCACATAGATTCACTCAGAGCCGTTTAGCCCACACAGATGGGTACCGTGCGCTTACATACACGCACACAAGTGTACTCGTGGTGCCACTTACACGTGCATGTACGTACGTGCTCACAAGCAGTAGCTCTGGGTGCACGGAGAGCCCCACACAGACATACTCACGTACGGGACGTACAACAAGACAGGGGCCGAGCCACACGCACAGAAGGGCTGCAAGAATGGGCCCCCGTGTACGTGAGTGTGTGAATGCACGTGGGCCCAGACACACGGACGCATGCAGACACCTGGGATGCACGCTGCACACGTCACAGGGCCTCGCGTGCCTGCCCCTGGTCCCGCACACACGCCGTATTCACACACACTCTTACAGGGGTTGGCTCTGAAAGGGTGGCTCCTTCGGTGGCGGGGGGAGTCTTCCTGCCTCCCTGGGACCCTTCCAGGGCAGGTCACAGATTTGGCCAGGAGGCTGCTCCGAAGGGTGGTCGCCACTTCCAGGCCCTTGGTGGGGACACCTGGACACCTCTCCCCACCATTTGTGCATTTCCTGTGGCCGCTGCATGGACCATGTCTGCTCGGAGGAGCTGCTGGGCCCCCTCTCCCCCCCACCCCCGCCTCTCTCCTGTCCGTCCAGCAGAGGGTCTAACCCATGGCAGAGGGGGGAGGAACCCCAGTGTGTGATCCCGGCCGCCGCCGCCCCCCATGCAGAAGGGGCACTGGCCCTGAGGGTGTGAGAGAACCAGTGGGGGCAGCTCTGGGCAGTGCTCTCTCCCTTTCTCCCTCCCCCTCCCCGCTCTCCCCTCCCACCATTGCCTCATGAGTGACTGGGGCAGTGCTCTGGGCACCCCAGGGCTCCCAGCGGGGCCTTAGGCCTTCAGTGACCCCACCCACAGCATCAGCCCCTTTTGTCTTCTGTCTTGGGTTCTTGTGAGTTGTTTTTCCAAAATAAGCCTCCCTGCCCCACACTGTTGAGCAACCGCTAAATTAACTCTTCCCTCCTCCCTTCCCCAAGTTCCCTGCAGCCCAGGAGGGGGACTCCCCCCCACCCCGGTGTCCCTGCCCCTCCTGAGTCTCGCGCCCTCCTGCCCTGCCCTCTGTAGGAGCAAGTGCCAGTCTGAGATGAGCCTGGAGGGCTTTTCGGAGGGGCGGCTGCTGACGCCGGCGGCGGCGGCCCGCCAGGACCCCGTGGAGCTGCTGCTGCTGTCCACCCAGGAGCGGTTGGCGGCCGAGCTGCAGGCCCGGCGGGCGCCCCTGGCCACCATGGAGAGCCTGTCCGACACCGAGTCCCTGTACAGCTTCGACTCGCGCCGCTCGTCGGGCTTCCGCAGCATCCGCGGCTCGCCCAGCCTCCACGCCGTGCTGGAGCGGGACGAGGGCCACCTCTTCTACATCGACCCCGCCATCCCCGAGGAGAACCCGTCCCTGAGCTCGCGCACCGAGCTGCTGGGGGCCGACAGCCTGTCCAAGCACTCCCAGGACACGCAGCCCCTGGAGGCGGCCCTGGGCAGCGGGGGTGTCACCCCCGAGCGGCCCCCCAGTGCGGCGGCCACCGAGGACGAGGAGGAGGGTGGCGGCGGAGGCGGGGCGGCCCCCGGGGGGGAGCTGGCCCTGCACAACGGGCGCCTGGGGGACTCGCCCAGCCCTCAGGTGCTGGAGTTCGCGGAGTTCATCGACAGCCTCTTCAACCTCGACAGTAAGAGCAGCTCCTTCCAGGACCTCTACTGCATGGTGGTGCCCGAGAGCCCCACCAGCGACTATGCCGAGGGCCCCAAGTCCCCCAGCCAGCAAGAGATCCTGCTCCGCGCCCAGTTTGAGCCCAACCTGGTGCCCAAGCCCCCGAGGCTCTTCGCCGGCTCAGCGGACCCCTCCTCGGGCATCTCGCTCTCGCCCTCCTTCCCGCTCAGCTCCTCGGGCGAGCTCATGGACCTGACACCCACGGGTCTCAGCAGCCAGGAGTGCCTGGCAGTGGACAAGATCCGGACTTCTACCCCCACCGGCCACGGGGCCAGCCCCACCAAGCAGGACGACCTGGTCATCTCGGCGCGCTAGCACCCCAGCAGTGATTGCTGGCTGAGGCCCGGGCGGGGGGGAGGGGGGAGCAGGTGGCCCCTCGGGCTCCTGGTGGCTGCCCCCAGGGCCAGGCCGCTTTGAGGAGAGCCCCCCCCAGGGGCCAGTTTAGCCTCAGGCATGGGGCACTGCTGCTGAGCTGGGGGTCCGCAGCCCTACCTCAGCTTAGGGCCACCGGGCGGGCCGGGATCCAGGTCCTCTAGATGGGGGAGGAGTGTGGAGCAGGGAGGAGCCTGGGGCAGCCTGTCAGGTGGGCAGGGCAGCACTCCGCCTTCTCAGCCTCACTGTGCCCCACAGGACGGGCTGTGGGCCTGGCGACTCCCCATCACTGCCCTCCGGCTGCTCTCCTGGGGCCGAGATGGAGAGCAGCTCTCTCCCCACATACTCACATCTGTGGTCCAGGCTGGCATCTGCCCTGGCCACCCCCCAGATCTGGTGCCTGCTGGCCAGCCCCCTGGGGTGACCCCACACCAAGATGGCCCGCAGTGCTGTGTATGTTTACAGATGCTGCTGGGCTGGGCTCAGGATGTTTCCTGGGCTTGCAAGCACCCCCCCACACACCCTGCCCTATCATGGGTTCCGAGCAGGGAGGGGAGGGGGCCCGTCTCCACAGAGCCCAAGGCAGCCACGGGGCCTGGAGGGGGCCTGGAGGGGCCTGGAGGAGAGTGGGGTCGAGACTACCCCTTCTCTGCTTGGTGCCCCTCATGGTGATCCCTCTGGCAACTGGCCCGAGGCACCTTGGCCTGCCCCATCTGCCCATTACTTCCCGGCTTGCCTTCTACCCCCAGGGATCCTGGCCACTCAAAGGGCAGAAGTCACAGGTGTGACCACCCCTGGCTGCAGGGTCAGTGCCCTGGGAAGAAGGAGGACACCCAAATCCCCCTTCCTTTGAGGGCCCCATGTAACCCCTTTATATCACCTCGCCCCCACGCCTAGGCAGCCTCAGGCCCTGGGATCTGAAACCAAACACGCCTCTGCTCCTCTCAGCTCCCCCTCCTCACTGGCCTGAGCTCTGTCCTAGCAGCAGGGCTTTCTTCCTCCCACCCCCCATCCTCAACGTCCTGTTGGCAGGAAGTGGAGCCAAGAGTGGTGTATTGTGGAACCTGGCTAAAAGGGGAGCAGGAGGGCCAGGGGCTCTGGGGCCTTCCCCGTTTAGCTGGAGGCCTCCAGAGCCCACGCTTGAGGGGTTCCTTCCCTGCTGGGTTGGGGAAGCGAGGGGGAGTCGGAGAACGCCCCCCCGCCCCCGCCCCGGGGAAGCTGGCTGGGGAAGGTTGTGCATGCTGGCGTGGGGCGAGTCTGTGCATGTGCATGAGTGTGTGCCGCTCCTGAGGAAGGGGCTGCTGGGGCTCGCACCCCACCCGACCTGCCCTGCCTGCTTGCTGCCCCTCCCAGCCCGCGAGAAACTAGACTAGGAGGGGGGCCTGTGCAGCGGGGGTGCATAGGACGAGCTCAGTTTCAGATGTCGCCGTCCCCCGTGTCCTTCCTGTTGCTCTGACCCCAGGTCTGGAAAACTGGTGTGTGCCCAGGCGCTGATCGCCCGCTTGTGCCTTCGTCTTGGAGGCAGACCCCCCCATGCTGGCCCTTCCACGGCCTCTCCGGGGCTGCTAGACTCCCCTGACCAAGAAATCCCCCCCCCCCCAATCTCATGATCACTGGTACCTGGGGCCTGTGTCCTGACCTCCGGCCCACACAGGGACTGGCCCGGCTGCTGCTCTGGGACCCCCGCCCACCCTGACAGATGGAGACAGAGAGCGGGGAGCTGGGCCTCCCTCCCTCTCTGACACCCACCCCCCCAACAAGACTCCAGGATGCCCCTGCTGAGGGGCCCGCTGCTGGCAGAGCCTGGGCCCAGCAGAAGCAAGATGGAATCAGCGGCTCTTAGAGTTTAAAAAAACAAATCGTAAATCAGAGTAAAGTTCCAACAAGCACCTCAGCCAATTGCTGGGCGAGACTTGGTGTCTGGCCTTTTAATTCTTCCTCTGCCAGGGTGGGCCCTGGGACCTCTAAGGGGGCGTGATACCCACCCATGCCCAGGACTGAGCCATCAGGGACAGACTCCCCACCCCCAAGGCTGCAGCCGCACAGGGTTACAGACTTGGGGCTGGGGTAGGCTCGGACTCAGCCCTGGATGCCCCAGGGTCAGCCCGCCCCGAACCCGCCCCTGCCCCCCATATCCCTGAAGGAATGGGCCTGCTGCGCATCTCTCCCTTCCTCCCCACACCACACTTTGGGGGGTCTGAGCCACCCCCCTCAGCCCAGCTAGGCTCAGACCCACCCCCACTCGCTCCCCCAGACCGCAGCACAAACTCTCCCAGCCGTGAGCTGGCCTGTTCCCCCAGGGGCCCGGGTGACCCCCATATGCAAACAGTAGCGAGCAGCTGGGCCCCAGAGACACTCATGCACTGTCCGTGCCATTCGCCCACGACTTTTTGTACTTACTGTATGAAAGATCCAAACTAATATTGCTGTAAAAAGGAGAGACAAATTAATATAGCTTATTCTATAAATATATCTGTATATAAAGGTTTCTGTATATTGTATAGAGCTGTGTATAAACTGGATGTAGAAGCACGCTGCCTTGAGTGACCTCTCTTCCCAGCAGGGGGCGATGGGCTGGGCCCCCCCCCCCCCCCGCAGCTGAGGTCAGTGGGGGGGGTCCTCTGAGCCTGGCTCGCGCTGCTGTCGATGTCCTGGTCTAGGACCACACTTAAGAGTCACAGTGAGGGACCAGAAGACCCTCAGAGCCCCACACGAATGGGGGCAGTCCCTTGTTGAGCCCTGCCCCTGTGAAAGATGTACGGGGTGTGGGGGGGAATCCACGTTCATGACCTCATCAGGGCCTTGAAAGACGGGACTTGTCAGCCGCTTTTCTCCTCCCTGAAGGGTCTGGGGCACAGAGAGGGTAAGTAAGCTGCCCAAGACCACAGAGCCAGCATGTGGGGTACCAGGCTGGTCTGACAGTTCCCACCCCTTCCTAATACCCAATACTGAGAACTAGAGCAGAGGGGGAAGGACTCCACTAAAACGCCCCAGCAGGGTAGCACTGAAATGTGAGGGCCACTGGAAACCTTTGCTGAGTGTTTCTTTAGGAGGGTGCAGAATAGCTGGCCAGGCCCAGCCGGGCCACCCCAGGGTCCCCAGTGCATGAAGGCTCCAGGACCGTGAGGCCTGGGAGGCAGCTGGCTGCAGGCCTTGGGTGAGCAGGCAGTTTTGTTGGGCCTCCTGGAGCCCCAGGCCCGGCCTGCCCCCGCCCGCACAGCAGGTGGCGCTGTTCCTCCAGCCAGTCCCAGGGTGCCTGCAGAGTGGGCCCAGGCACTGAGCCAGCCAAGCTTTGACCTGACCTTGACCTTCCCCTTCCCCACACTGCCCACCCTCTCACCACCCCCAAGTCCGGAGGGACCCTACTTGGTGGAGTCTGGGGGAAGGTGACAGACCAGTGCCTGACTTCACCCCTAGCCTCTTTGAACAGAAGAGGCTCCATGAGGGCAAAGACCTGCTTAAGGTGACTCAGGCTGTGGGGACAGATGTGAAGACCAGAATCCGGGCCTCCTAGCTGAGGACTCTGGCCTCCACCCTCATTTTATGGTTTTCCGAGGTTCTTCCTCAGAAACTCAGTCTCACTGAGTTTGCAAACTGTCCTGTCGGATCAGTGGAGCAGAAGCAGAAGAGACCTGGGGCCAGAGAGGCGCTGTGACTTGCCCAAGGTCACACAGTCAGACTGTGTGGGGAAGGGCTCTCACGAGGGGCAGTTCCGGGAAGGGCTGGAGCAGCGCTGTGCCTCCCATCCCCACGCAGGCCCTGTGGACGGCCCTGTCCACCTCAGCTGGGAGGGAGGTGGGAGGGCGGTCGTTCTGCAGGGCTCCCCCTGCCCCTCTCACCCCAGTCCGGGGAAGCCCGCACCCCCAGCCTCACTGACGCTGGGCTCCCACTCACCACCCCTTGGGCCTTCCTCCCGTCCTCTGCAAAGGGGGGCAGGTGCCAGGGCTGTATGAGCCCACGGGGGGTCGGCAGTCCCGCAGCAGGGAGGCCTGGCCCTCTGGCTAGCTGATGAGCCCCACCCTCTCCTCGCCTGGCCACCAGCCCGGTACTCTGTTCCTCCAGTCCCCCTCAGTCCCTTCCTCCCGCTCCCCAGCGCTGCCTCCCGCTGGCCCTGCTGTCACTCAGCGGCCAGAGCTGAGCACCAGGAACTGTCCTGGAATAGAAGAAAGCAGGATTTATTGATCACTTCCCTGACATTCTACCTGCTCAGAGAGGCGGGAAGAATAGGCTGATTTACAGATGAGTCCTCCAAGGACCCGAGGGCAGGCCCTGGGGGATGGCTGAGATGACCACAGGAACAGCTGTGTCTGCAGGACCAGGAATGACATGTCGGTTGCTCACTCAGTAGGGCTTGGTGGGGACGGGGCACAGATGGGGCCCCTCTCTGTGGATGGCTCCCTCATAGTCCTGGTTACGCAGGTTCCTTTGGGCTCCCTTACCAGCCCTCGCTGTCATCGCCGTGTCCCAGACAGGCTTGGGCCCCACCTTCATTATGGGCTTTGGGGGTAGCAGCATCAACTTTTGGCTGAGCCCCGGAGTCTGGGACTGCAGCCACTCCTCTCCTCCAGCCCAGAGGTGGGAAGCCCTGGGCCCGTTGCTCCTTGGCTCCGTGGCCCAGGGGAATCAGGGGAGATGGTAAGGCCAGAACCCCCTTAGCCAGGCCAGCTCCCACAGGATGAACCGGAAGCCCCATCCCACCCCATCCAAGTTCAAGGCTACCCCAGAGGCTTAAGGATCCAGCTCGAGGAGTTGGGGTGTTGGGGACAAAATATGCACATCCCACTCCTTTGAGGACCCATACAAGGACAATGCTTAGCTCATCACGATGGCCCTCAGATGGTGGACATTTCAGCACCATGTGGAATATGGTGGAAAGACCTTTGGGTAGGTGGAGGCTTAGGAAGGAGCTAGTTTTCCAGCTGGTCCCGGGCAACTCCTAAAATAAATTCATTTAAAAAAAAAAATCACATGGCGTAGGCGGGTGTCTACTTTGTCCACAGGCAGGCCTGACCGGGTGGGGGAGGGGACAGAGCAGAGAATAACAATTGTCTTAAGGGAGGCTGCGGAGGGCGAAAAAAACCTCTGGGGTGTATCAGCTGGAAAAGAATAGGCGTCTCAGTGTGGCCCTCTCCCCCCTTCTCAGCCCGGCCCCTGCGGGGGGAGCACTGGCAGCACACACAGCTGGGGCCTCTAGCAAAACCCCATTCTATATATCTGGGAGCAACGGCTCGGAGAGCGGCCCCCGGAGGGACAGAACCTCATTGTGAGGCGCCCGCCGGCCTGGGCGCTCCCTCCCCCAGCCCCAGAACTGTCGTGGCATTGACCCTCCTCGGTGGGCCACCACGGGCCTGCTGACTGGGCCACATCTGGGGCTCAGGCACCGGCCGCCCCTCCCCCACAGCTGGCCGCTGAGGAAGGGGAGGGCTGCCTGGGTGGGAGCAGCCTCGCCGGCTCTCACCCCCATGCCCACTGAGCAGCCCGGCTCGCCCCCCACGCTCCTCTGGGGGGCCACTGGCGGGCAGCGTGGCACGCTCTTGGCCGGCGGGGCTGCGATCTCGGTCGGCCGGTGGTCCTCCCGCCCCTCCGGGCCTCGCGGTCTCAGTCCCAGTCCCATCATCTGGCAAACAGGGGTCGGGTGGGATCAGTTTTCCAGCTCTGACTTGCTGTATCAGAGGATCCCGAGCGGCTGTCAGCAGCACCACTCCGTAGGGAGATGATTTGCTGGGTCCCAGATTCCAGAATTCTCTGCTTCCAAAGTTTCAGAGATCTAGGATTCTGCGGTGTGAAGATGCTATTGTCCATCCATTCCACGTCTATTTACTGAGAACGTTCTGCGCCCCGGCTAGTGTTCTTGGGGTTGAAGCTGTGGCAATGACCAAGCCGGAAAAATCTCTTACCCTCACAGAGCTGCCAATCTAGAGCGAGAAGGATAATCACAAAGACTAAGTAAAAATCTTTTATGTGGTGAGAAAGAAGGGCAGGTAGGGGGAATTGCTTCAGGTAGGGTGGTCGGAGAGGTGATGAGTGAGAAGGAACCAGTCATGCGGGGTCAAGCATTGTAGACAGATGGAACCGCATGTGGCAGACATGTGGCGCCTGGCATGTTTGAGGGAGGGCAAGGAGGCCTTGGGGGCTGTGACTTAGTGAGCGATGAAGAGAAAAGGAGGCGCTGAGGTCAGTGGTACGCGCAGGGGCAGATCACAGAAGGCCTCAGAAACCAGGACAAGAGGATTAGGTATTGTTTTGAACACGATGGGAAACTACTGGTTTTCGAAAAGGAATGACATGATCTGATTGACATTTAAAGAGTGATTTGAGGGGCGCCTGGGTGGTTCAGCTGGTTAAGCATCTGCCTTCGGCTCAGGTCATGATCTCAGGGTCCTGGGATCGAGTCCCGCATTGGGCTCCCTGCTCAGCGGGGAGTCTGCTTCTCCCTTTCTCTCTGCCCCTCCCCTTCAGCTCGTGCTCTCTCTCTTTCAAATAAATAAAATCTTTAAAAAAAAAAAAAAAAGAGTGATCTGGGAGGTTCTAGAGGCCATCACTGAGGACAGACGCAGTGCTGTTGGGCAAAACGGATGAGGAAGCGCTGCCGAGATGGAGACAGAGGGACGGGGATGGTGGGTTTATCCTGGACACACTAGGACAGGAGGTAGAACCTGTGGGCCGCACACTACCCCACAGGGAGACAGTAACCGAGAGGCTGCCTTTCCAGGTCAGCCGGGATCTGGCTCTGAATGCGGCTTGGACCCCAATTACCTTGAAAGCCTCAGACCTGGGCCGTCCAATACCGCAGCCGCACATGGCTATTGGCGCTTGAGCTACTGAAAATTAAATAAAATTGAAAAGCCAGTTCCTCAGCCTCACCGGCCACATTTCCGGTGCTCGATAGCCACGTGTGGCTAGTGGGCGCCCTACTGGATCTCCCAGTCACCCAGAGAACATTCCGGTCACCAGGGAAAGTTCTACGGGACAGCGCTCCCTCCGACAGGACTGCTCATCCCTGAGCCTGAGCGCGGGTCCTCCTCTGCAAAACGCACACAGTAGTGTGTCCTCGGTGGGACACCTGCCACGGTTAGATGAGGTAACACGGTTAAGTCCTCAGTGCGAGTGTCCCTTCACCAGACGTGGGTGCTACTCTTGCTGGGGTGGGGGGGCGGGGGAGGAAATGGGGGTGTCTTCTGAGGTTTGGCCCGAGAAGCTAAGATTCAGAAGCCCGCTACCCTCTCGTGCCCAAGGGGAGGGCGAGGACTGCGGGGGGACGCCGCCCCCCCCCCGCCGGGGGAAGTCACCCCGCGCCCAGCGCCGCCCGGAGGGGCTGCAGCGCGGGCCGGGCCGGCAGGGGGCGCCGGGCGCGGCGGGCGGGGCGCGGGGGGCGGGCAGGGGGCCGGGCCAGGGCCGCGCGAGGGGCGAGCGCGCCGGCGGGCCGGGCGGGACCGTAGCGGGAGCCGAGCCTGGACTGTCGCGCGGGCCGCGCCGGCGATGCCGCGCCCCCGGGCCGGGCTGTAGCGGGGCCGCGGCGGAGCGCGCGCCGGGCAGGCCGGACATGGAGGTGGTGGACGAGACGGAGGCGCTGCAGCGCTTCTTCGAAGGTGAGGGACCGCGGGCCGGCCGGGAGGGCGGCGGGGCGGGGGGGGGGGGGTGTTGAGGGGAGGGCAGCGCCCCCCCCTTCGTGCTGGGAACCCCCAGCCGATCTCCCCGGACACCGGGACCCCCAACTCTGCTTCGACCACGCTGGGACTCCCCAGAACGCTTCCTCTGGGCCGGGGTGGGGGGGGCCTCTCCGGGCGGGCTCCCAGGGCTGGGAGTCTCCTGGAGGTTACTGCCCACCTCCACCAAAGTTGGGCACCCCCTCCCGGTGCCCCCAGCACACAACTTCCTTGGAGCTGTGTCGCCTCCCATGCTTGGTCCTTCTTCATGCCTTCCAGGACCTGCAGTCCCCTCTAAAGTCTGACACCTCCCACCCCTAGTGCACTTCTCGAGTTTGGGGACCCTCCGCTGTGCTTCCCTGGAACCTCATACAGACCCAGACTTCCAGACCCCCTTTGAGGCCCGGACCCCAGCATGCCTTCTAGGATCTTCCATGCCTCTTAGGCTGGCACCCCAGCCCTCCCGCATGCCTTCCAGAGGTCAGGCCCCCTGCCTAGAGACTCAGGCCCATGTGTCCTTTTCAGGTGGACACCGTACCCCCAGCCTGACTCCTAGGAGCTGAGACCTCCCCACTGTGCTTCCCTGAGACTAGGACCCCCTTCAAGACTGTCACCCACCTTCTGCAAAGCTGCTCCCCCCCCAAGGCTGAAATTCCCCTCGAAGCAGCTACTACTCCCTTACTCAGGGCTTGGAACCCCTCCCCAGCATTCCTCCATGGGCTGGATTCCCCCCAACCCTGAAAGGCTTTCCCTGGGCTAGAACCTTCTCGAAGTCGGCAGCCCTGCTGCCAGCCACCTCCGCACTCTGAGACCCTCCCAAAGTGGTGAACTGCATCCTGCCAGCCCTCTGAGGCTCCTCGGGGCTGTTCCACCCACACCTGTCCCTGGAGCTCTGCCTCCTCTGATTGTTGCCCCCCACCCCTGGAGTGACCTCACCCCCTCACCTCGACCCTGAGAGGACCCTTCCCAGGGTGGGGATCTAGACATCTACACACAATCTACGATGTTTTCTTCTACCCCTGCCCCCACCCCCAACACACCCTCTGTGGTTTTGGAGGTCTGCTCCTACATCTACCCAGACCCCCCTCCCCTTTTCCTGGGTAGCCTCTGCACCTCCTCCAGGTCTTTCCCCCTCCTCCAGGGTGCTGGACGCTGGAGGAATGGGACAGAGTGTGGGAAGGGGGGGCAGAGGTGCAGGCAGACATCTCCCAGCCCACTCGGCTTCTCAGACCCTCACTGGAACATCTCGCCAGCCCCTCCGGCCCCTCCTGTGCTCCTCTCCACCAACCTGGGTAGTCAGGCCTCTGCCCCCACCCTCTGTCCCCAGCCCCTAAGCCCACAGCCTACTCCTCAGCGTGAACCTGCCCCTAGGGATGGGGCGGTCCACAGGGCACCACTGTGCTGGGGATGTTGGGCTACAGGGTGATGGATCACGGCCCAAGTTTCAAGCCTAGCACCCAGATACCTTTGGAGTCCGGGAGGGAGAGAGGAAGGCCTTCCTTTGCCTCAGTGTCTCCGTTTCTGTGACTTGGGGGAGGGGGCAGCCTTTGTCCACTCCTGCTTCCTGCATAGGTAAGGGCATCTCCTCCTCACTTCAGGATTCTGGACACCCTGGCAGACCCAGACCCCAAGAAATCAGGCTTGGACTAGATTAAATGGTTGATCCTGAGGTAGTTGGGCCATTTGAGGGTCCTAGGCAGTCCCCCCATCTGTCCCAGGGACTGTGGTTCTCCCTAGACACTGTTCATCCTTTATGAACCCTCAAGGGGCCTTATGGGGGCTGGGGGCCCCTGGGGAGGAGGGAAAGGGTACTGTTTTGGGGGTGCCCTGAGCCCACTAGATACCAAGGACGGCCATGGGCCAGGCCTCCTTGATTCCTGCAGATGTCCCCATGGGTCCTCTCCCCCAGGACCCTGCACGCAGGCAGAGCGGTGGGCCTGGCTCGCTCAGGCTCCCCATCTCCTGAGCCAAACTTTCCCTCCTGGCCGTGGGTGGGGGGTGGGGGCTGACGCCACAGCTCAGCCATGCGGCTGGCCTGGCGGGGAGGCTGTCCTGCTCCCTCCAGAGAGATAAGAGGAGACTCAAGAATGTCTGTGGGGAGCAGGGGGGGGTGTGGGGCTGCCCGCTGAGGCGGGTGGAGGGAGCCAGGGGCTGGAGAAGGGTTCCCAGAGCCTGAGATGAGCGGGAAGGTGGGCCGGTGCTGCGGGCCAGGAGTCTTGGGGGCCACTTGGGAGGGGGGGGCCTGGCGGGGAGCAGGTATGCAGTGGTGTGGGGGGGGGACCTCAGGGCCAGGCCTCAGTGTGCTCATGAGTGCAAGTGTGAAAGCAAGTGAGTGTCGTGCACGTGGCTATGTTGTTCCTGAACTCTCGCGCTTGGGGCTGGAACCTGAGTTCTCAGTCTGGTCCTCACTTGGCCTTGGTCACTCCCCGTGGACTGTGGGGACAGGGGCAGGGTCTATGCTTTCAACTCGGGGCCAGAGATGGAAAAAGCCTTTGCTGAAGGGCAGGGGCGGATCGAGACCCCTTGTCTGCCATGGCCCACTCTCTAGGAACACCAGACCTATGTCCTAGCTCCTGCCCTGTGCAGTGGGCCAGGCTGTGCCCCACCCCGGGGTGGTGGGCTCGGGGCTAAGGCGCTTTGGGCCTCGGGTGGGAGGCTGGGACGGGGCGGCCCCCTCGAGGCTGGTACAGCCGGGCCCCCGTGACCGCCCTGCTAATCCCCTAGAAGGAGGCTCCGGCCGCCCGGATCGGCGGGCACAGGGCCTGCAGAGAGGGGACCCTCCAGGCAGGATGCCCTGGCTCCCGGCAGGTAACAGGGTCGTGGTGGCAGGTGCACTCCTCAGCATCTTGATTGGCCGGGGCCTTGGATTCCCAGAGCCTGGTCAGGGACGGGGGCAAGACGGCATCAGGGGAGCCCAACAGAACCTTAGAGGTTCCGGTACAGGCTCGGGCCCTGCCGCTGAGACCTTTGTGACCCTGTGCTGAGCTCTCACCCTTTCTGGACCCCTTTTCCTTACCTGCGAGACAGGAGGGGGTGGCAGAGGTCTTAATGATGCCTTCAGGTCTGATGAGCCTCGTCTCCCAACCCTGGGCAGGAGGGCCGTTTTAGAGCATGGAAGGTGGAGGGTGCTGACCCCTGGTTCCAGGGGCACCTGGGGCTTGGGGGAGCAGCGCCCGCCTCCTCCCCCAAGAAAGCAGGTGCTGTGGAGGAAGCCTTGGAGATCTAGGGGAACTGGGCTTCCAGCAGGTGCTGAAAAGGCCACTGAGAGGTGGGGGGACCTCCACTTGGCCTCTAGAGCCCCACCAGGGCGTTTACTCCTTCCAGACCTGATGGGTGGCTTGGGCTGGTCACTTCCCTTCTTTGGCCTCATTTCCCCTCCTGGGGTAGGCAGGTGGATTGGACCAGACCCGGGGCTTCCAGTGAGGTTCTTTTTAGCCACCAAAGAAAGGCAAACTCATGGCCTCCTGATACACAGGGGGTGGGGGCGGCGGGGCTCCCCACAGCCCCCAGAGCACCGGGACCCTTGAGGTAGGGGCCGGCACTGGCCCCCTTTTCCAGGGGCCAAGACTCCGAGAGAAGGGACTTAGCCAGCATTAGTCAGAGCTGCCAAGCCCCCAGCTCTTTCCTCTGCCACCAGGGTCTTGGGGCAGGAAGCGTGGCCTTCCGGTGGGGACCAGCCTGTCTGCCTCCAGAGGGCAGGAGGAGGCCGCAGGGGGAGGCCACCTGACGATTTTTGGGAGAGGATGCCCACCCTGGACAGGAGTCTGGGGCTGAGTTGGGGTGTGTGATCGCATGGCCCTGTGCCCCATGTCAGCCTGTCTGTCTGTCTGTCTATGGTGCACCAAGGATGGTGGAAGGGTGGATGGGGGAGGCAGCTGGACCCCTAACTGTCGAGAAGATGAGATGGGGTGCCTTCTGGAGGAGTCTTGTCCCAGCCCTTCCTCCCCAGGTCCTGAGTCCAGCTGGAGGAGAAATAGTAGTGGGGGGTCTGACTCATCCCATGTTCCCGACACCCAGCACAGGGCACAGGGCGGCATGGGGCTGGGCGGGGAGGGGGGCGGGTAGGAAACGTTCTCAGGGTCATTGGAGGCAACAATGGCTATGTGAACAAAGGTGGGGTGGGGGGTGCACCCGAGGAAGCCATCTCTCTGGGAGGGCCTGGGGTCAGTGCAGGGGGTGGGGGGGGGTGGCGGGGGAGGAGAAGGCTGTCTCCCACCTGCTTGCCTCAGGGCCTCTCCTGAGTCTGGGGGCATTGGCAGAGTGCCCCTTGGGGTCTTAGGCAGGGCCAAGCAGGGTATTTGGGGGAAAGACAAGTAGGTCGCTCTGGGCAGAATGGCCTCCTCCTGGGGACCTGGCCCCCACTCTCTAACTCTCAAGGGCTTACAGGACTGGGGGGGCCCTGGCAGCTAAGGCTGCCGGGTAACAGCCCAGCAAGGCTGCTGATTGGCTGCTACCCTTGGACTTTGCCCTCTGATAAGAAGGGGAGCAGAAATCATTAACTGGATCATTAACCGGGGGGTGGCCCTGCCCTACCCAGGCTGCCTGCCCTTCCTTCCCGCCTTCTTCCTCCTCACGGCCCCCTGTCTTGGGCCTCAGTTTCCCTCACAGCCTGGCTGTGTGTACGGGGCGGGGGGGGACTCCTCTCCCCTGTGAAAGTCTTCAGCCCCTGCTGCCACCGGGTATGGGTAGACCCTGGGTTGGGGGCAGGTGTCAGATATTTCATGGCCTTATGCACTCCCTGGAGCGCCAGTTTGGCTGCCTGCCCACAGTCCCTCTCCTGGGCAGATCTCTGCACTTCCTTGTGCCTCCACTTTCTCATCCTTAAAATGGGAATACAGTTGCAGCCCCAGCACCCAGTTCTCAGGGTTTCTGCAGGGATTGGGTAAACTGGGTGTTCTGAGGCCTGGTACAGTGCCCAGTGCGGTAATGCCCCAGAAACATCA